CGTTTAGCATCTTTTGATCCATCTTTACCACAAGTTTATACTACTTACGGGAAATTTAAAAACCGTGGTGAATGGGGAATAAAACGTAATATACCAAGTTTCATTCGCACCAACGTCATTACCATCGCTGCGTTGGACACTATAGAACATCAAACTCCGTATAAAAGCGCTCAAACAATGGTGAAATTCACAAGACGTTGGAAAGAGAACTTTCCTTATTCAAAATTTTCAAAACCCATGGAGAGTAAACCAAAGCCAGTTAACATTAGTAAGATGTCCGAAAAGGAGTTCCGAAAATTTCTAAAAAAAGAGGTGGAACCAAGAAAAGGTGAATATCAAGAAGCAAAAAAGAGTGAAACGCCTGTGACGCCACGTGAATTTTTAAATATTACATACGAGAGAGAACCCTTAACTGTCCACGGATTAACTTATTCTCATAATAATCCTGGAATCAACATCAAGGTCCAAGGTCGTGTTCTAAATAGAGATATGCCTTCAGGATATGCTGTAGGTGTTAGCGGTGTAGTTGCAAATGTATTATCTCATAAGACTATACTTTTGAGTCCAACTGAAAGAGAAAAATTAGAAAGCTTTTATGTGGAAAGCGCCAAATTTGATGATCAAGGGAAACCAGTAGTTAAACTCTCGAAATCTGCCCCGTTAATTCTAAACGAGATTATGGAACCAATAAAAAGTTCCTTAGATTCAAGTGTATCCTTTGCAAATGACGATCATGATGAAAAAGAAATACTCAAGAGAATTAAAATTATACTTCAAAATAGTTCTTTAGAAGGTGAAGGGCAAATCCCGACACCAAAATTTCAAGAAACCTATAATGAGTTATTCCCGGATGGAATCGATTCAACGAATATCAACCCAGAGAATAAGAAAACGGAAGTCAACGATGTCAATAGTAGTACATTTTTTGCGGATAACACGGAAAAAAAAGATTAAAGGAAAAAAAATGACATTTATTGTTATAGTCGAGATCGAAATACATAATTTTTGATAAATTGTATCTATCTATCGTTCAATTTTACTATCATGAGTCAAATTGGTTTTCGAAAGCGCCCATAAAAACGCTTGCGGAATCTTCCTGACGGTAAACTTCATGAATCGAAGCACGAGTAACGTAGTTTACGGAATAATCAATGAAATATTCATTATGTGTATTAAAATATTGACTTTCTGTCATGTTGGGATATTGACTTTCTGTCATGTTGGGATATTGACTTTCTGTCAAGTTGAGATATTGACTTTCTGTCATGTTGAGATATTGACTTTCTGTCATGTCTAGACATTGATTTTCTGTCATGTCTAGACATTGACTTTCTGTCATGTTGAGATATTGATTTTCCGTTGAATCGGAAAATCGATTTTCTGACATGTTAAGAAATCGATTTTCCGACTTTATGGAAAATTGATTTTTTATAATATTGGAAA